TGCATATAAGACAATTCTACTATAACATAATAAAATAATAATTAATATTAAAAATAATAATTATAAGGAAATCTGATTGAAATACAGTGCATTTTTGCAATCACTGTAATTCTCAGAAAAGCGAAGATTTTTTGCACACCACACACCATTCACAGTTCCTCCTGTTTTTCTTCTATCAAATGGGTCCCTTGCCTGCAAGCAGCAGCTGGTTTTAATGATTATCATGGGTCACCATGTAATGAACATCATGTGTTTTAGGGTCACCTTTAAATGCGATCTCTGAATACCACCCTGAGAACTGTTTCACTATACTGCTTCAAAAACAACACGTAACCCATTAAAGGAAAAGAGGGCCTCTAACCATATATTTATATAGCATGGAAAACAGGGCCAGGCTTGAAAACTGCAGTTTTCAGTGTGAACGCTAGAGAACAGCATCCTGTCAGTTATGGTGTCCAAAGCTTATCCATCAAATGACACTTTGAGGTCACAGTTGCATGAAGGTAAGCTGACTGCGCTGATGATGACTGTTGATGACTGCTTCTTTAGTGACATTTCCTTTGTTTTGGTTAATCCACAATATATTTAGCAAAAGAAACAACAATAAATATGGTAGATTATTGTAGATATCTAGATCTATCTAATCTGTAAATTACATAGTAGCCTATATACTGGCATATATATATATATATAGAACATGTATATCAAAACATAATCAATTAAAATCTGTATAAATAATCTGTGTGTGTGTGTGTGTATAAAAATGATAAAATTACATCTAAAATTGAATTAGTAGCTTATATATTGGGAATATGTTTTTTTTTGGGGGGGGGGCTGCTATTTTTATGTATGTATAGGCAACATAATTAACTGAAATAATTTCAAATAATATCTATACAAATAAAATATATGTAATACAATAAATATTAAAGTGTATGTGCGTGTCTGTGTATATTGGTTTCAATGATTTACATTTTAAAATGTTATAAATACATGTAACAATAAATATTAAATAAGAATGTGTGTGTGTATAAACTATTAATTTCAATAAAGATATTATACTGTTTTAAAATATTGTAAAATATATATTATAAAATATTATAAATATGTGACAAATATTAAATAAGTCTTAAGTGTGTGTGTGTGTGTGTGTGTGTGTGTGTTAAATTTAAACAAATTTGAACATTTTAAAAAAAATCTCCTTCATCAACTGACTCAGCAACAGTTCAGTTTAATTTAAGTTTATTGCCACATCAGCTTCACAGGCTATTTCATGGCAAAGACTATACATTAAAAATACAGTAGAACACAAAATACAAATACAATAAACATAAATAAATTTATAAAAACGATTATAAAACAAAGTATTGATTCAGCAACAGATGCAGATATATATGGGATGCTGGTAGGCAGTGTTGTAAAAATAGAGTTCTTGGTGTTTTCCTTCGGTCCATCTATGAGTACTACTTACACACCTTTTAATTCTTTCTTTTTTGCATTTGACAGTACATAACCTCTAATAAGACATCTAATTTTCTGCTTTATTAGCCTCATTAGCAGTGCTTGCATATTCATCATGTGCACAAGCAGCAGTTCAAGATCCATCACCACGACAACACTATCAGTTACAGCCACAGTTCCAGATGAGCTACAGTGTGCACGCGCACACACACACACACACACACACACACACACACAAAGACCAACAGAAACCAAATCAGAGCTCATATGAGACCATACGCTTCAGGAGAAATACTCCATACATACTTCATAACGTCCCAGACCGGTCACTGCAATAAAGGTCACACTATGTACAAGACAGACTGCAGACAGACGTCTGTGAAGTCTTCAGGGACCGGCCTATAAATGTTTGATGACAGCTCTCTCTGAGTATCACTAACATACTGAACCAGAGCATCTCTCTGAAAGTGAGACTCCTAGCCTATTTTCTACATTTAAGTTGTAAAAGCAACACTCAAATGTTAAGTTAAATATTATGCATTTGAGAGTACATTATCTCAGACTGACACAATGTATATTGTCTCAGACATAACTAGCCTCAGTAATGGAGCCTTCATCAAAAAAACAAAAAACAAAAAGGTATCAGTAGATAATAACACGCAATATCAGTAATACACATTTCGATTAGTACACACTGTAAAAACATGATTTACAAAATTTATAGATAAAGCAAATATTATTAAGAGTATGTTTTACCAAAAAATACTGTTTCAGTCTTTCTACAAAAAAAAAACTTTTTGTACTTCAAAATTTCATGATTAATTATGTGTGTTACTTGCCATTTCTATGTAATTATTAGTAAAAAAAATTTAGAGAAAATTGTTTCAAAATAATTTTAGTGCAGATGGAATGATATTTGTCTGATTTTTGGCCATTCTGAGAATGTCTGGATCTGCTAAAAACAGAAATTGAAATTATTTTTGCATTATTTCCACAGTTCTAGATTAGAGCGTAGACCCTCTCTTTTATTTATTTATTTATTTGTTTGTTTGTGTAAATATTGTTTAAAATATTTGCAAAAACAATTATGTATAAAATATTTATTATATATTTTAATTTAATTTATAATATATATTCAGTGCAGATGGACTGATATTTGGCCTTTCTGGGAATATCAGCATCTGCTGAAAACAGAAATGGAAGATATTTTGCATTATTTTCACAGTTTCAAAATGTACAGACAGTTGTGTAAATATATTGTGTAAACATTTTTGTACATATTGTGTAAAATATATTTTTAATGTAACAATTATTAATTTGCTACCATTAAATTATATATATTTTATATACTATATATACTATATTTTACAGTGTGTGTGTGTGTGTGTGTGTGTGTGTATATATATATATACATATACATACATACATATCACACGAATTTTCATATCTTGGTTTTGATATAGTGGATATTGCCAATTATTCCTGCTTCTTCACTATGCACGTTTAGAGATAAACTCAAGTTGCGCGCGCGTACACACACAAAGGCAT